GCACCTGGGTGGCCCCGTCGGTCAAGCGTCTCATTGTGACTCAAGTCATGATCTCACGATTTGTGAGATTTAGCCCCGCATCGGGCTCTGCAGTAACAGTGCGGAGCCTGCTTAGGATTCTCTCTCTCTCCCTCTCTCTCTGCCCCTCCCCAATTTGTGCTTTCTCTCTCTCTCTCAAAATGAATAAATAAACTTAAAAAAAAAAAAGAATGAAAAGCCATTTATGAATTTTAAAGGGCTAGGAATATGATGTCATTGGACTTGCCTTTTAAAAAGACTGCTCCTCCTGCAGTATGAGAATGCATTGGAAGGAGGACATTAAAAACTGAATGGTCCTTTCTTAGTTCTTCTTTCTCTATCCATATCATATCATACAGGTTCGTGTGAGCACTCCTGTATGACTGGGCCTAACGTGAGGACAGTACAGATAAGAGAACTGCAGATTCCTGAGATATTTAGATATAAAATCAATTAGCTGATATTTCTTGAAGTCCATTTATAGCATAACCCTGTCTCCAACTAGTTGATAAAATTACTTCTTGGGGATCTTTTTTAACAGTATAATCTTGAAACCTAAATATCACTGATGTGATATCTACACATCAATGTTCACTACCCTCCATGAAGACCAGCCTCTGAGTAGAAATAGAGTGGTCAATATAACGAAATCTCAGGATTCTGCTCAACAATATCCACGATTAAGACAAAATGTTTAAATTACATTTGCAAAGATCGATAAAATTCTTTAAAAAAAAAAAAAAAAGAAAGAAAAACATTCGGGGCGCCTCAGTGGCTCAGTCGGTTAAGCGTCTGACTTCAGCCCAGGTCATGATCTCGCGGTTTGTGAGTTCAAGCCCCGTGTCGGGTTCTGTGCTGACAGCTCGGAGTCTGCAGCCTGCTTCTGATTCTGTGTCTCCCTCTCTCTCTGCCCCTCCCCAGTTCATGTTCGCACTCTGTCAAAAATAAATAAACTTAAAAAACAAAAAATGTAAAAAAAAAAAAACCTTTCTTTTTTTTTTAGTTTTTTATTTATTTTTGGGGGGCGGGGGGGACAGAGAGAGAATCCCAAGCCGGCTTGGCACTGGCAGCTCGGAGCGCGACGTGAAACTCGAATTCACAAACCATGACATCATGACCTGAGCTGAAACCAAGAGTCAGATGCTTACCCCACCGAGCCACCCAGGTGCCCCTAAAATTCTCTTTTTAGGATGTCTGGAAACACCTGGGAATGATCACTTACTCATTAGGTAAATATTCATCGAGTATTTGCTCTATGCCAGGCACTATTCTAGTCAAGAGAGTTACTGGAACAAGCGAGACAAAGCAGGTCCCTGCTCTCTCATTCTGTTTACATCTTTATGAGGAAGACAGATACAAACAAGGAACCGAGTGATGAATCAATGACATGATTCCAAGCAGTTACGGATTTATAACTACTATCTATGAATTTATAACTACTATAAAAATAAGTAAATAGAAGAGAGAGATGGTCTACAGAGTTATTACTGGGTCTGCTCTAAATGCAGTAAGCAAGGAAGGGTTGTCTGAGGAAGTGACGTGTGAAGTAATATCTGAGTGACTAGAAAGCACTGGGTGTAGGAAGATCTAGCAGGTGAGGGGCAAGCACTTGAACCAGAGGGAGCATTTGGAGCACTAGCAGGGGCAGAAAGGAATTAGCAGTGCAGGGCACAGGAAGAAGACAAACGTGGCTAAAGCATCTCAAATCAGGGAGAAAGTCAGGTGAGATTAAGTAGAAGAAGTAACAAAAAGAGCAGGAATATATGACATAAGGCCTTGTCAGCTGGGGGTAAGAACTGTATTACTATTTCAACAGCAATGAGATGTCACTGGAAGATTCTAGTGAGTCCTAGTCATTCGTACTTGAGCATGGATTATCTTGACTCTCTTAAGAATTATTATAGATCGTCTGAAATTAATAATTTGGTGAGAGTGTTAGGAAAGAGGGTGGAATGGCTTTGGAGTTGGAGAATGGCGGCAGGAAACACACCCGGTTGGTGATTTGCCCTGACGTGCAGGAAGGCAATAGACCAGGTCTGCACAAATCACCCACGAGATTAGGAATTTTGCAATACTGATGATATCGAGTGGAGGGAAGAACAGTTAGCTTTCTTTTCCTTTTTGTCTCTTTTTTTAAATTTTATTTCCAAACACTTCTGCAGATGAGGCAACATTAAAGGGGAGGGGGGTGGGGAGAAGTAAGATCCATTGTGTGTATATATGCATATGTGTATGTGTTACGGCTTACCCTAAATTCCAGGCAATGTCAATGTCAGCCAATCACCAGATAATGTCTATCGTGTGTCCTGGGAGTCAACAGTGCTACATGTAGCTTCTCAGCATCAACATCAATCGTTTTTTAAATATTCAAAATGTTTTTAATATAGTCGTTTAAAATAAAATATAGTTTCCCTTTATCCTACAATTCTTGTATAGTATTAATATTAGCTGTCTAATTAGACTTAGCTAATTCTGTATTTTCACTGCAACATCGTTACTTTGCAACATCTTTACAAAGGCCTATCCTACTACAGGAAAAAGCCTGATTTGGAGGTTAAAAAAAAAAACATAAGTGTATATGGAGTTGATGAATCACTAATGTTTTTATTAAAATAATGTTCATAATTAGAGCTTTAAAATGACTGTTATTAGTTTTTTAGCTTACCTTTTTCCCCTTATTCAATAAATGTACTACTGGGCTCTGGTCCAACAACAACCACAAATCCCATAAGAATCTGTTTAGATTTTCTTGCTTTACCTGCGTAAAGCTGATCAGAGCACCCTGATTAGAGCACACCGTTGTCTTTTTGTTTAAATGGCGGGTGCTGACACCATGGTTATACACAAAAATAAATATGGCTGAAAAACAATCAATATCATGACCTGGTTTCCTATATAAGAATTCGACGGTTTGAAAAAAGACAGGATCGTTGTTTAATAAGCCAGTGACTCATACCTCTTGGCATAAATGGCCTGGGCACGTCCATTTAGGTTATGTTCGTAGATGATTGTCAGCGACTGTTATTTCCAAGGTGATCTATGTATAGCATATTTTTACGTGTGACGGTTTTAAGAGGCTTTGAAGTTACTGGAAAAATAATAGCAAATGCTAAGCTTACTTACGTTTGTCTCATTCAGTTAAATTATAACCCCTTTTGTGAATAGCTCGGAAGGCATTCTGAAGATCAGGATTTTTCTTCTCCGGGCCTGAGTGGAAAGAAACATCAGTCATGACAACGTTATGCTAGACCTGATTCATACCAGCTTGCAGGAGCGAATTATTATAATTTGGGGCATGATGCGAGCCCATGATTAAGCACGGCTATTATTATAAATTAAGTGATATAAGCTTATAATTAAATAAATGATATTAAAAACAAAGGTAATACATACTTAAAACTCTTACCTTCCTCATCATTTGACTATGGTCTACTATGCACACTATACAACTACAGCGCTCGCATGGTAAAAATACTACATAATAGTATTGCTACTTGCCCACCCCTTTTTACCTCCACATTTGCTGACATCAGGCTTGTAGCTTGAAATAGGCCAGGGTGGAAGTAATTATGTGGTGTTGAAGTTGAAAGAGTTTTAATGAAAATAATGTCTATGAAGGTGTGAAAAATAGTTCAAGAGTAGACCACACAGGAGGTGTAATGATAATACATTTATTAGGGAAAGAGGGGGTTGGGATGACATTCAGTGCATGATTGCAATTGCAATGATTTGCAACTGTGCAAATCACAGTTGACTTGCTGGCTATGAATAGAAGAGTTTGACCAAAATCAACAAAAGCATTCCGCGAAAATCAAGTGGCTATAAGGAATGTGCAGTAAAGAGCACCGTGGATTTTATTATTATTTGTAGGTTATGTATCACACATCATGTCTATCAGTAAAAACCATAATAAACATACATACATTTATATGCATACTTTTCGCCCTGGAGAGTCCCTCGTTAAACATTGACCAGACGCTACTGGTTCTGCAGGAAAGATGAAATTGGATAGGTAACTTAAAAGCAGCTTTTTCAGAAAGTTGTAACGGAGAGCAAGTTTGTCTCTTTGTTAACCTAATCTGTTAAAATCAGTGCATGTTCACACTCATCCCGATTTGGCTTACCGACTTTGAAAGGGTTTTGTTTCCATTTTTAATTTGAAACTCCTCTGGGTGGAAAGAGAACCAGAATGCCAACCACATGAAACTGTAAACAGACATTTTTGCTCAGCCTCAAGTATCGTGGCCATCACATAGGGTTTGGGGAATATTATTTATTTTTTACTATAACCCACCAAAAAACAACGATCGTTTGATCAAATCATTGCACCCAGTCTAGTTGATCTCAGTTGAGTATTTTCATCCTTAAACGCATCAAAAAGGCACATGAGTGTCCAGTCAGGAGTAAGGTCTCCTTGGTTCATGAGCAATCTGACACACTCAGAGGGCCGGTTCACTGACCTGCAGGGAGCTGGAACACCGACCACATCTGAACAGTAAATGGCCTTTGGCCCAACCACCTCAGAGAAGGAAGTTGCCAGATCACACCATGGCTTTTAATCACCTTCTGTATATCTCAACAGATACCCTGTCCCAACATGTATCAAATGATCTCTATACATAGCACTAAATAGAAAGTACTAGACACCGGTGTCCTGCTGGGTGAAGTTTTATCGATTCATTATCCAGCATGACTTCCATACAGAAATAGTCATTCACACAGACTTGGCCTTTGTTTTGGGCAAAAACACGTCAGATCCCTTCTTTAGTGAAAAACTCCCCCAAACGGTTTTAGCGGAGGAAGTGAAGACACCATCAGGTCTAATCGAGGACTGAAAACGACCTTGTTTTCCAAGTTGTTACTTGTTCAGTTAAACTCTCAACATGCCGGCAAAAACTCTAGGTCTGAAGCATGTGTGTGTGTTGAGAAGACTAGGAGGTTTGGGTCCATTATATAACTGCCACTTTTTGTTTTTATTCAAGGTGTCATAAAACTGAGTTCTGCAGTTGAAGGTACGTTTTTACAACCACAAAATCGATACTGTTTTGCTTCAAGGTTGCCTAGCGTGGCTTTGTAGCTAGAAAGCGTCTGTGGCAGTGGTGTTTGGTGCCATGTTCTAATTGCCAGCTATCACCATTCCGTCTGTGTTCTCCTCGTTCTGGTCATTTGATGCCATGAGTCTCTCAGGCCTCCACAAGGGGCATTAACTCTGGCCCCGGAGGGCGGTCTTCTGGAGATCGAACATGTCTGCTTCTACTTCTGATGTGATTGCCTCCGATCCAGGGCTCCCTACAGATCCCCTTGCCCTGCAGCAGCCTTAGTTGAGGCTGAACGTGGAGACTTGCCAGGAAGCTTGCCCTCCGTTCTCTCCGCAGGGCCTTCTCTAGAGTGTTTTGGTCCTTTATCCACGTTTACCATGGTCCCAGCATGTTTGCCCAAGAAGGATGGGGGCATGGAGTCGTTAAAGCTCCCTGACGGGAACACTACGTGGTTAAGGCATTTACTGGTCTCAGACGCAGGGTCCTCCTGGGCAGTGTGATCCACCAGCCCGGAAGCACTGCCAGGACCCACTTCCTTCGGTGTCATTCGTGCCATCCATATCCGGCGAGTGGCAGTCCCCTTCACACGTGCATCTAGGAAGCTAAGAAGAAAAGGAGAAGGGATTTGAGGAAAGACACGGATTGGTGTGGGAGAGGACAGCAGTGTTTTGCTAACCTCCAAGAATGCTAAAAATACCCCATCTGCTGAAATGATTAGTTATTTCTATAAAATTGATCTCCTTACCCTCATAGAAGCGTGCTGTCCGAAAGTGGCGAATGTGTAATTTGCTCTTCTTGTGAGTTTCTGTGTTTGTTTTGGGTGTGTGTGTGTGTGTGTGTGTGTGTGTGTTCTCATTTATCGGGAGTCTGTCAGCCATGCTTCGAAAGCTCCTTCATCCCCACTTAATCAGGGGAGGCTTCTCGGAAGAGGTGGTGGGCTTTCAGGTGAGTCTTCACATTTAAAGGGAAATGTGGCTTGCTGATGATCGGGCAATGCATGGAGGTGGGAAGTGGAAGAATGCAAGGGGGAAGGATCGGTGAGACCATCGGCGTGATTCCAGCAAAGGGATTAGATGGGCTGGAGTTTGAAGACTGGGAGATGAGGGAGGGGCTCCAGAATGAACCCACAGGACTGGCAAACCCAAAGTGGGGAACTCTGTGCCTCATGAAGATGCACTACCATCACATTTTACAGCACAGAGTTGAAAAGGCAATATTTCTGATATTCATGATGGAAAGCAGGCCACCGCTCTTCCAAAGCGAACCAAGGCCCAGGGGAAAGCAGTCACTGGTGCTTCCAGGTGGAGAAGGAGGAGCAAGACGATGTCACCTTCAGGGCCAGGGAGGGCACAGTTCACATTTCCAGCCTCTACGAGGCCAAGCAGGAGTCAAGTTTCTCCAGTGCGCTAACACGGAGTTTTATTGAGAGACGGTCCAACCCTCTCCCTGCCTAACAAAACACAGGAGACGCGGCAACAAAATCAAGCAGGACACTGGGAACGGCCTTGCCGCGGAAACTCTCTGCGGCTAGTGAGCACCCGCGGAAACTCTCTGCGGCTAGTGAGCACCGAGTTTCAGTGAATTATCTGTAGAATTCCAGATAACAGCTGGCCCACCCTGGGCCGTTTTGATGTTTTATCAAGGAATGGCTTTGAAGTCAGAGCTTTGCGTGGCCTGCTTGACTTCAGCACAGTGAGCCACCTGCAACAAAAGGATGGAAAAACAAAATAAATGCTTTAAGAAGCGAGGAAATGACAAGAACATGAGATAACTTAAAACCTCTTGTTCTGCCGGAACTGTCATTGTGTTCATCATTTTGTTAGTAACTATTGTCACTACTGGGTAGCATGGCCACTCTGAACGCCCCAAACAGGTTCACGGTCTCCAGGGCATGACGAGAGAGAGGAAAACTAAGGGCGAGAAGCAGCATGACTGCTTGGGACTTTTTCAGCATCCTTAACCAGCCTCCTCTGAGCCCCTGGGGCTCCCGGGAAGTACGCTGGGGCAGCTGTGGGTATCAGAGGTCAAGCCCACCGTGACCCGCTGCTTGAGCAACTATCTCTGGGGCAGCTTCTTGGCTGAGGGCTGTGGAAGCTTGAAGGCTTGGGAGCATGCTCTGTTGTAACCGTGTTAGAACATGTGTGCACAGGGGGCTGTCTGGAGGCCAGTGTGTGTGTGTGTGTGTGTGCGTGTGTGTGCGTGTGCGTGCGCTCAATGCATGCATTCTTGCTGCATCTGGAATGTGAGATTTTTGACCAGCATGCTCAGTGGAATGTGTGTGAGACACTCTCTCCGGATTCGAAATCAAACCTCAGATGGTAGTCCTTACGAATGCTTAGCTGATTACTGTACTCTCTCTTTTCCATCTGTGGTATGAACTCAAGGTCGCTTCATATAGTGAATCATGTCAAGGAATATGTAAATCAGCGGAGGGGATCCGCTGCCAGAAATGAAACCTACCTTTTCTTTCAAAATGACTCTGCTTTGGATTATCGTAGAACTCTAACAATAGCATTAATATTTTAGGTAGGTTGTCTTTTCTTTTCTCTTCTTTTCAAGGAAAAACAATTCTCAAAGTGGTCAGAGAAAATCGACAAAGATTCCCCGTGCTACTTCCCACCACGTATTTTTGTCACGCAGTTTTCTTCTTTCCCTTTCTCTGGAACAGAGGTGCCCCCTTCAGCATTTTGCAGCCTCACCTATTTGAACAGGAAAAAACTTTGAAATAGTTGCAAAGTTTTATCGATAACACTGATGAACTCCAGACTCTCATTTTAGACTGATAATCCCAAACTGGGAGAAAATCCGGGTAAGAGAGAAACATCCAGAAGCAAAGTGGGAGAAAGGGGAGATGGGCGGTGGTTGGGTGCCTGGTAAAGGGGGAAAAACTCTTTTGTCCCATGGGAACAAAACCGTTCTTACCAAGAATTCCATGATAGAATCTTCTAAATATTCCTCCTAAAAGGGATGCTCCCTCTGCAAATTGAGGCAGGGCAAAGGGAGGGAGCAGGGCACATGTTTCCATAAGTGGGGCCAGCACACCAGTCTCATCAAGGAGAAAGGAGAATGCGGGTCACAAAGAGCTGAGTCATGCCTGAGTTAGACCTGCCCTGACTTCTACAAGCAGCAATTTCTTGCAGGGAGGAGGGGTCCAGCCCCAGCCTGAAGCTCCTCATCCAACAGGGGCAGTGTGTTCAGACACGCGGGGAGCATTCAGGCGGGAGGCATCCAGCCTGGAGGGACTGGATGAGACTGCAGAGGCTGATGACAGGCCTTTGTGACTGATAACCAGGCTGTGTTGCGTGATGAGAACTTGCCTCAAAAGCGATTTGTTTATACCGTATAGGTAGGTGAGAATCCAAAATACCAAAACGCCACCAACTGCTTTTGAAAGCCCAGACGAGATGATTATCGAGGCCCTCGCCCGCAGTCGCGTCCTGTGTGGGCATGCTGTGGGGCCTCAGTTAGCTTTAGAGGTGAAACTTGTGTTCACAGTAAAACCTCACAGTCTCCACGAACAGCTTCCATTTCATAAACAAAAGTCCCCCTGGGCATGCGGAGCTTTTGTTTTCCTTTTTTCCTCTTGTCACTTCATTTTATTTAGATATGTTTTAAGGATCTTACTTCTCCATGGTAATGGCCCATGAGCCACAATCCCCTTCAGAGCAAGGGCTTAGGATTTTTGTCATGTTCAAGGTGGTGCTCTCGACGGCCTCATAGCCTCTGACCCAGAAAATGGTATGACTCCTCAGGCATAGGGAAAAAATAAGCAAAATCTTTATTCAATCTTTGTTCCCAGTTTTCACATTCATAATACCTGCAGCTTAATGTCTATATCATAAATCTATAAAAAAATGAGTTGTTCTTCTGATACGAAGCTATGATCCGACTTTACTTACATAAAGTCCTGAAATACTCGATTACTGTGCTTAAGAAAGACTATTTTCCATAATATGATATGCAGTGTGTCTGTCGTAGTCTGTTGGGCTGCTGCAACCAATTATGGTAGATTGGGCAGCTTACATAACAGGGATCTGTTCCTCACCATCGAGGAGGCTGCAAGTCCAAGATCAAGTCACCGGCAGTTTCAGTGTGGGGCACAGCCCCTCTGGATTGCGGACTGCTGGCTTCTCACTGTGTCTTCACAAGGTAGAGGGTGCAAGGGAGCTCTACCCGACTCATGAAGCTTTTGCCTTCATGTCTCATTCACTTCCCCAAAGCCCCACCTCCTTTTTTTTTCCTTTAAAAAAATTTTTTTTAATGTTTTGAGAGAGAGAGCAAGCCAGTGCATGAGCGGGGCCGGGGTTGGGGGTGGACAGAGAGAGGGGAGACACAGAAAATCGAAACAGGCTCCAAGCTGCCAGCACAGAGCCCAACGCCGGGCCCAAACCCACAGATGGCGAGATCATGACCTGAGCTGAAGTCGAACACTTAACCGACCTGAGCCACCCAGGTGCCCCCCAAAAGCCCCACCTCCTAATACCATTACCTTGGGGGTTAAGATTTCAGCATGTGAATGGGGGTAGGGGGAGACATAGATATTCACTCCATAGCAACCCCAAGTGAATTTAACACTTAAAGAAATATTGCAGTGACTCAGTTGGTTAAGTGTCTGACTTCAGCTCAGGTCATGATCTTACAGTTCTTCATGAGTCGGAGCCCAGCATCCTCTGTCCCCCTCTCTCTCTGCACCTCCCTCTCAAAGTAAATTTTTTTTTTTTTTTTTAAATTTTTTTTTTTCAACGTTTATTTTTGCGACAGAGAGAGACAGAGCATGAACGGGGGAGGGGCAGAGAGAGAGGGAGACACAGAATCGGAAACAGGCTCCAGGCTCTGAGCCATCAGCCCAGAGCCCGACGCGGGGCTCGAACTCACGGACCGCGAGATCGTGACCTGGCTGAAGTCGGACGCTTAACCGACTGCGCCACCCAGGCGCCCCTCAAAGTAAATTTTTTAAAAATTAAAGAAAAAAG